ATATAATATTCACAAATAGAAAGGCTACATACCCCTCATGGCCCTTCGGGATTTGATCATGTTGACCCCCGACAATCCTATTTGTATATCCACCTAGGCCATTGCTGACCCGATTCTGGGGTTGCCCATTGTTGGTCCTATCCCAATCAAACACCACAACATTCTGGAAACTCTTGCGCGATGACAGATTCTTGAAAAGATTGCTGATATACCCATTGTCCAGTTTTTCTTTGAAACTGAGTGAGTGACAGTATTCGAGAAAGGTGCAGAACTCCACAGGAAGGCCTTGACACAAGTCACGTGGTGTTGTTCGTTGTTTGCATTTGATGATGTGCCGAGACCCGTTTGGCAAGCCTTGCCATGGTAAACAACCATGAAGGAAGTAAATGAGCATGTAGGCGAGCAATTCCATGTTGTCTTGCCGTCCAAGCTCTGAGCCCAGGTGGCTATTGATGGAGGCGAAAGTAGCCATTCCGGTGAGTCCGAGGTTTGTGTTCAAGGGGATATGCTTATAGGTATCAGAATCTCTGTACTCCTTTGATAGACCAAAATCGATGAGGTAGACCATGGGGGCCTGCATCCCTGTACCCATGACAATGTTGCTAGGTTTGAGATCGCGATGAATGAAGTTGCGAGAGTGTATAAACTTCATGCGCTGATACACTAAACCGTCCCTAATCGTTAGGAAACAGTCAGAGTTGCGCAGGATTTGGGGGTGTGAAGCGTCGCAAGGTGTTGCGCAGGCCTCCGCGGGGCGCGAGGTTTCGTAGGTAGGTTCGCGGCGGTCGCGGGCACGTCTGTGTCAAAGGACTAGAGCTGCGCGCGAGTGCGGTGAAGTCGGGAGGGGAAACGGGGTCGGTCTGTTGCGAGCGGTCGGAAACGGTCGCGCACGCGCTGGCGCGGCGCGAAACTTTGTATATATGGCCGCTGGGGTCGGGAATGCGTCGCGCTTGAGTCGCTAAGGCCGCGCGTGTGTGCGGCACACTGGGGAACGCGAGGGGAGAGCTGCACTGAGCTCTGAAGTCCGAAATTGGAGGGGAGAACTCTACTATTAAAAGTCTGGTGTGTAAAGTTGTAAATACATGGCCTATATACTAGGGAATGTAAACTAAGGAATGGGGTGCATTAGATAAGGAGGGGAAAGGGGAAGCTAAAACGCGAAGGGGAGAGTCCGGGAAGAGAGGGAAGCCGAGCGCTCAGAGAGCGCGGGAAAGCGGTGAAGCGCGTGGGAACACGGCGCTTAGAAAGCATGCAACAGCGCGGGAGAGCACGAGAAGGCGCAAGCGAGCGCGGCTGAGAGTGAGAAGGCGCGAGCGGGTATGAGCAAGCAGGGGGAATGTAACAAAGATATAAAATGCGAAATTAGCCTTTTCAGGGCCCAGGGAGAGCACAGTCGTATCAGCGCTCAATCTAGAACCACAAATAAGCATATCCACTATTTATGAAAATGAAGACAAACCAGCTGGTCAGCGAGGAGTAGAACGGTTTGAACTGTGAATTTGGAGTAGCAGCTGATGAAAAGGTCTTCAAGGGACTGACCCAGGCGATCGAGTGCCAGGACATCAAAGCCACCTTCTGTGCCAAACCAACGGGCGTGCGGAATGCCTATTCCTCTGGAAAGTTTCTGGTACACCTGGTACTCGTGTTCCAGGAAATGTTGTCTTGCATTCAGTGGCTCAAGTTTGATCACGACGTCTTGTACTGATAAGATGTTGTGTGCAAAAAATACTTCACTTGTAAGCCAAACAGGACAGGTGAAGTAGCACTGTAGTGTACCAAATGACCCAGACCCAATCTTTTTCTGCAGCCTATACCTCCCCTGAGATCCATGGAGAATAGAAAAACTAGCGGGGAGATCAGTGAGAACATGTGAATTGCATGCTACTCACAGTACAACAAGAGCTTTAATATATAGAAAATGACGAAACAAGGATACAAGGATTCACCGAGTGGTAGCAGTGTGTGGTAAATGCACAGTGCCACATTATCAATATCAACCCTTAGCCTTTGATGTCACGTGATTGTCAACATAGGTGGATCAAGGCAACACTGGTGAGGTCGCAGCCAGAATGAGAGAGGCCTGGGGATGTCATGGGCAAGTATGACTATGCAATCGCCGATTGATGGGCTTGGAATAATAAGAGCATCTTTCATGCGAGTGGCTAGGGATCATCACAGGTCACCCGCATGTGGTACAGTGCTGGCGGGTGCTGGCGGGTTTGATGGGTACCCATACCCACATGTCTTGGAGCTCCCCTTTTCAACCTCAAAGTTGGCTTATAAAGTATTTCTCTATTCCTACTAGTATTTATGATCACCCCATTGTCATTGTAGTTGCCATCATATTTGCCCCACCGCTGTCATACTGTCATAGTTGCTGTTGTATTCACCCTACCACCATCATGGTGGCCATCGCCGAGGCTGTCGAGGTGACCTCATCACTGTTACCAAGGTTGTCATGGTCACCTCATCACTGCACTTGCCTTGTCGCCATTGCTGAGATCGTCATGATCACCTCATCGCCGTTGCCTTGGTCATTGTGGTCCTGTTGTTGAGGTTGTCTTGTCACCATTGGGGTTGTCGTGGTCACCTTGTTGTGATCGCATCAGTTGTCATTGTCACCTGGTTGCTAGTGAAGCATCTTGAGGAATGGCCACGTCAAATGGTGGGGGACAAGGAGCACGAGGCCCACTTAATTACGTCAGCATAGCCTAGTTGCCCGAGCGTGAGACCACCTATTGCATACAACATTGCACCAAAATACGACAAATCTTTCAGGAAGTTGATTGGTTCCAATACTATAATGATTGAATGGTCGAAATATAAAAGTTGAATGTTGTCGTTGGTCACAAGTGCACCAATGACATGACTCTGCAGGCCACTGTGAGATAGCATCTCCCAAGCATAGCTGCAGCACTGCGGCATAGGATCAGTTGAAGTAAGGCAGTGGAAGCCAGGAACCAGCACCCCTTATATAAGCCATTCTGCCCCCACAACTGCAGAGCCTACTCCTCTTGCATTGCACTGTTTTCAGAGATTCTGGTCTAATAGAATGTTAGAAAACTCCCTTGGCTCTCACTTTTAAAAAGGGTTTTTGAAATTTCTCAGAATTGGTGACACAGTAGGGCACAGAAACTTTTATTTGTAAAAAGTAATTTTCTCATGTTTTCACGCTAAAGGGAACAATGTCGAAAACCTCCTCCAATGGATTTGTCACATCACGTGACCTAAAAATATGATGTAATCCTACCATACCCTTGAGTGAGAAACCTGTCTATTGCGCAACAGACCCTTAACGAGATGGAGAAAAAGGTTGTTGCATGCCTTGATGACATCCCCCTGCTCCAAATTCGACAGTTCATTGGTTTCTGTACTTTCTCTCTCCCATGCCAGTGTCTGATATTTCTGTAGATATGCCAATCACTCTGCTCGGTTCAAGGCTTGGTTTGTCCATGCATATGAAGCAGGTCTTTCAGGAACTCAGGCTACATGGGCAAATTGTAAATATCATGGCCATAGGACCCTCCCTCCAGATATGGTGGCTCAAATAAAATAGTCTCTTAAGTAGTACTTTTACCCCTCGTGTTTTCGTGCTTTTGTTTGGTTTTTGTGCCCACTACTTGTCGCAACCCTAAGATTTTGTCCCATGCTTACATAATGATGGGGTTATGTAAGGGGTGCTGGTTCCTGGCTTCCGCTGCCTTAGTATCGGATGCCTTTTGCCTCTTTGATCTGTGTGACCCACTGGCATTCAAAGAAGTGTTAGAGCCATGCTTCAATGCCAAAGCCAAAAGAACGAGAAGCAGAGTGGGTGACCATCGGTGACATCGTTGGAGCCAACTTGTACGACATGGTTTGTTTGTGAGGTGTGGAGTGGGAAGGTGGTGCTCTTTTTGACATCAATGTAATCACTATCATAAATGCTCAGCCTGATATAGGAAGGATGGGAAACCAGTGATAAACGTACTTGGGCTGTGAGCTCTTGTTTCCTCCGAAGATAGTTGGTGAAGGAATTTGAACTCAAAGAAGAACAACAACTCAGTCCACCAAAAGCAAGCTTCCTTTGGCCCGCTGTCCATAAGGTTGTTGATGGACAATCTCCTCAACATTTTCAGATTCTCATCACAGACACCCACCACATTGGGTTTCCTGTCTGCACGTGAACCTCCAACACGAACTGGGTCATTGCGGCAAAAGCATATGTTGGATTCAGGATTGTGACCTAGTCAGGACGATGTAGGGTGGCTTTGTTGTTTACACAGTGAGTTGCTATGCATGTAGGTGAGGTGAGAGGTGATGGGGGTACAGTTGGTGAGTCTGGCACTCACATGTTGATGGGGTCATGGAGATTCAGGCTGTGCATGTTGCTGGACATCATTGGGGGAATGCTCAACATGGTTATAATTAGATATACTTCAAAAATATTCTTTAATTAGAGTATAATATTTTTAGGTTAAACCTCTGTTAAATTTATTAATAATAAGTTTCATCATTACTTATTATATGTAAACTCAGTATTATAAATAATATTAATAAAGAATATAATACTAGCTTTACACGATAGAATTAAAAAAGATCCTCATTATATTTATAAATTTAAAATTTCAAGTTTATTATTTCACTTTAAAATTTACCCTTTTTAATAATAAGAATAAGAATATATATATATATATATATTAATAAAAATATAATTGAAATAAAAAATTAATATTAATTTTTTTAAAAGGGGTTATAAATGTAATGAGTGACAAAATTATAATTAATTAATTAAAATAATATTTATTAAACCTAATAATATTTCTTTGATTGAAACTGAATTTAATCTACCTTTAATTATTAAATTAAAAATCATATGTAATAAAAATCATAAAATAAACTTATCATTAAAATAATAAATTCAAGTTAATAATTTGTTTAAAATTTGTTATGTTTTTGATTCAAAATAAATTCAAAATTTTAGTTATTAATTTTTAGCAGAATTAACCTCACTTCTCACAATATGGACTGAATTGGAATTGAACCAATATCAAAGTCTTACAAGGAATTCATTTTACCAATTAAATTATTCCAAAAATGAAATGTTGGTTCAGTTGGTGATATGTTTAAATAAATACTAGATAATTTTAAAAACTAAATCTAGTTCCTATTCCTAATAATATTTTTTTCACAGGAATTAATAAAGTAATTAATAAAATAATTCACTTCTAGAAATATCTTTAATAGGTTTAATGTAATAGATTTGATTTGAAAATTAAATAGAAAAAAACAAAAGAGTATTTAGAGATTAATAAATAATCAAATATAATTTATTAAAACAAAAGCAATTTAATTTTTTTGTGTTTTTTAAAAAGAATGAAAAATAGTGAAATAATTAATATAAACAATAAGCTTTGGCAACATATTTAAATCCAAAAAAAAGCCATAATGATTTAAACCCAAAAACAAAACAAATTTTATTAAGAGGGAATTGACAGTTTGAATCTGGAAGATCTTGCTTTATATTATTAAAATAAAAACACTTAATTAAATTAAATTAAAATAATGACATGATAATAGGGGCTTTCAAAGTACCATTATTTCGTTCCCTTATTGGATCCATTAAGTGTCCATTAATCTGAAAATTAGCGCCAATTTTGGGATAATGTGAGAAACAATGAAATAAATAATCGACCGATAATGGTCAACTTTGAAACCACCCCCCCCGAAAAACTCGATAATTGGACACTTAATGCCTTATTTTTTGCTCCCTGAAGCTTCGGGATCCTTTCGGCAGGGTTGCGCCTTTTCGATCTCCGCCCCACCACTTCGCTATCGTTACCATCGCCTCGCCTCATCGTCACCTGTGATATGCTATGCTGTCCATTCCCCTTCACCGAAGGCTGCTTGATCAACTTGACGATGTTGACCGCTCGTTCAAACGAGCATGCCTTCAGAGGTACCTCGAAGACTCTGGTGTTGAACTTGCCGTCGCTCCAACTGACTCAGACGCTGACTCGGATTCGGAGGTGTCATCTACCTCCAGCCTCAGCAGCTATTCGTCGTTCTCGTCGTTCTCGGATCACAACTCCCATCTCTCTCTCTCCCTCTCCGACATAGAGGATGTCTCTTATTCGAACATGCAAGCTGAGCTCGATCAGCTCCGACGCGAGATCCTCACGTCGAGGGTTTTGCGAGACAATCCCAAGGTCAAGAAGACCGCTCAGATCCAGCTCCTTCAAGACTGGCGCGAGGGCAACGTCGACCAATTCCGACGCAAGGTTCGTGTCGACCCCGGCACATTCGACGGCCTCGTTGAGAAGATCTGTGAACACCCCGTATTCAACAACAACTCCAACAACCCCCAGAAGCCTGTTCCCATCCAACTCGCCATCTTCCTCTACCGCGCTGGCCACTACGGCAACGCTGCAAGCCCCGAGGCGATAGGGCACTGGGCCGGTGTCAGTCCGGGGACCGTCGTCAATTGCACGAACAGGGTCATGTTTGCCCTGCTCTCGTTGCACGACGAAGCCGTTCACCTGCCATCCCTGGAGGAGAAGGAAACCGCGAAGGCTTGGGTGGCCAGGCAGGTTTGCCCGGAGTGGGGCAATGGGCATCTTATGGTGGATGGTACAAAGTTTCCGCTCTTCCAGCGTCCTGGCCTCCATGGCGATACCTGGTTCGACAAAAACAAGAGGTACTCACTTGACTGTCAAGTGCGCGTTTATCCTTTCTTGAGACCTCTGGACCGAGCTGACTTATGCTAGCTTGTCACGCTGCCAGACTCCTTACGAATCGTCGACTACTCTATGGGGCATACCGGCAGAGTTCACGACTCCTGGTCGTTCCGGAGCACTCGTATCTTTAAGGAGCACGAACGTGTTCTTGCCCCGGATGAGTGGATATGGGCAGACTCTGCTTATCCGTCGGAGACCTGGTGTGTCTCACCGTTCAAGAAACCGATTGGAGGGGAACTCACCGCCGATCAACGGACATACAACTACCATGTATCCCGGGTAAGTCAACCAGCTTTTTCGTCTAATTGAGCTCATACAGACTACGACTACTAGATTCACATTCGTTCTGAGCATGCCATCGGACTTCTTAAAGGACGTTTCCAGGCGTTACGCGAACTCCAAATCCAAATCTCTTCACCAAGGCACCATAAATGGGCCATCATCTTCGTCCGGTCATGTATCATCCTCCACAACCTCATCCTCCGACTTGAGGAAGGCGCCTTTGACGTGGCATTTCGTGAACACCTTTACGAAGCTGGAAGATGGCATGCGCAAGCTCAGTATGATGTCTCAGAGGGGGAAGATAGTGACAACGAGCTGCAGCGGGTACGTCGGCGAGTCGAGACAGAAGGTCAACGTTTTCGCCGCCATCTTATGACATGGCTATTCGATAGTGCGCACAGTGGGGCGGAACGAAGGTAAACTATTAAGTCGCGTCTTAGTAGTTATAGTGGTATATGTAACGTCCGTAACGGTGTAGAATCGACAAAGTACTACGCATCAAAGTATGGATCCATGGCTCGAGATAGGTCCCCATGCGTCAGAGTCAGGGCTCTGGGTAGCAGTCGAGGGCTGCACAGGGAACACGAAGTTGTTGAAGTTCTCTGGTGTTGTGTATACGCCCGCTTGAGTGTTCCCGAAACCGCCAGACCCTGGAGGAAACACGGCGCTACCGAGAGCAGGTGGCGAGACGGCGCCTTGCTGCCCTGGCACCTGCTGAGCCCTGAGTCGAGCCAGCTCGAGTTCGTACTTCAGAACCCGCTCCTGGCATTCGAACTTCTTGTCTTGCATCCTCTCCTGGATCAGAAGAGCCCTCTCCTCGGCAGCATACCGCTGGGCCTCACGCTCTTGCTCAGCCTTCAACACCATCTTCTGACGCTTCGCAGCGATGTTTGCAGTCTTGAAATCGTATGAGACCTTCGCGAGCTCCAGCAGCTTGGTGTTCTCGACGACCGACGCCTCCAACGAATTTTTGATGCGTGAACGCTTGTTGGATACTTTTCTGGCTGTCGCCGGTCCACTCTTCGAACTCTGGCCAGCAGAGCTGGAAACTGACGGTGTCCGACAGTGATTCAAGGGAAACGGTATAGGGATAACTTGAACAGGGCTGCAGGCGCGTACTAGTTGCGCGGGCTTGGTTTCTGTAGCACCTGGTGTAGGATCCTGTAACGTGGTGTCTAGTCAAATGGTTCCACTACAGAACGCTGAACATTGCGCACCTCTGAGTTGTTGATTTCACGGCCTGCGTGCTCCTCCTCACCGTCAGGCGGCCATACGTCATCCTTCTCCCACAAACCGTCGGGCTCATCCCTATCACTGGTAATGGCACCGCCTTCTGCCTCGTCCTTGTTTCCAAACAAGACCCCAATAGCCTCATCTTGAAGATCTTGACCGGGCTCAGATGATACTGTGTGAGGGTTGAAACTTGGGAGCGTGCACCAAAATCCGTGCAAGCGTTCCCAGTAGGGGAAATCAGCCAAAAGTTTGTCTGTGTCATCTGGTCAGCGACTCGGAGCAGAGACGATAGAGATGTGCGACATACCCAGGACGTTGTTCAAGTTGCTGTCCTTCCGGATCTCTTCAACTGTTAGCCCCGCGCCCATTCTCCCGAGCTCCTGTGTTAAGTCGCGGTATCTGCGCTTCAGACTTTGCAAGATGTCAGCGCAACTACACCACCTCGAAAAGATAACATGACATACTGAGTGACCTGGTTCTCGACTGCCTTGGAGTATTTCTTGATATCCTCCTTCACTTCAACACGAACCCTGGCATCTCCGTCCACGGAAAAGACATACTCGGCCATCTTGGCATAAAACACAGACTTCGCACCCTTAGCAACACGATGCGGGCAGTTCTCTTTCTTTGCGTCATGTGACGAATCCGAGAAGAGCCTTTGACGATCTTCGGGGTTGTCCTCCAGCCACTCGATAAGCCGGTCAGTGCAGGAGTCGCCCCACTGTACTCGGGACCCTTTTTCGACAGTTTCCAAGGCTTCGTCGCCTACCCCAGGTGTGGTCGCAAGCTTCTTGTCTTGCTTGGTGGTACGCTTTGGCTTGGCGCTCGGTGGTTTGGCTGTGGCTGTCTTCTTCCCCCGCATGAGTACCAGGTGCCAGTGGTCAAGAGGAAGGCGGTCAAGAGGAAGAAACGCGTGAGCAAAAGTGAAAGCGAGGTTTGATACGTACTAGTGCATCTGTACCCTCTGTAAAATAAAACTCCGACCACTTCCTTCATGGAACGGGAATAATGGCATTAAGTGAAAAAGGAGCAAAACTCATCCTTAACGCAAAAAACCCAATTATTCAACCCATTTTTATCTCCTGATCAAGTACATTTTTCAAAATAATGAAGTACGATAATGGGGTAAATAAGAGTACTTTGAAAGACCCTAATATATAATTTTATTTATTTATTTAAACACAAAAATAATTAATTGATTCTTAATTCTTTAAAATAATAGTCTTCATCGTAACAATATATAAAAGACAGATGAAGGTGGGAAAGCTGACACAAGACAGACTGTCGTTTCTGACCACCCCTATTGTCACCAGACGACTGTAGTCACACAATAGAGTTTTGTTGTTGTGGTGCAACTGACATTTCCAGTTGATGTCACATTGTCACCCTGCCCTATTTTGGTACTGTTTTGAAACTCCACTTTCTGGAACTAGCGCAGCTTCGTGGTGTTTGGGTGCTTAACATGGTGCTCAATATTACCCACCACTTTGAGGGGCACACACAAAAGGAGTTTCCGCAAGCAACTCTTCCATGTTCCGGGAACCCTTTAAGTACATGTGAGCCATACCCTAAGGCGTAAAATAGGTAGGTGAGGTAGTAAGAGATAAAGGGGTGGCATAGGATAGTTGGGCAAACGAGGCGTGGATACTGATCAGGACTGAGATGAAACATGGAATCAAAGGCGTAAGGTGCAATGTGGCAAGGAGTAGTAGCAAGACAAAACAAAGGGACTGAGAGACAATGAGATATGAGAGATGGGGGCCGGCGACAATGCTATATTACGAACAATTCAAGTCAGTAAAGTATTGAGAGAACAAACTGTGCCCTGGCCAGAGACAAAG